GCTTAGTTAACGGAAGGCTACCTGCTGCCATCAGAGCAAGTGTAATTACTGCATTCACGCGCTCCTCGGATGCTCTCATTTCCCGAGTTGTGCTTTCAAGTCGAAATGTGAAAACAACATGGACACGCCATGTTACACTCCACTCCGGTACTACAAAGATTTGTTGTATTTGTATTATTAGAGCTTTCCGACTTGAGTTCATGTGTATTTTCTCAGTCGGGAAATTATTTTTCACGTGGGGTGCTGGTGATGATGTTTCTTACATCCGTTTCGGAGAACCAGATGACAAATATTTCAATCGATCGCTCGGGCATGGCACCGAAATGAGGCACCGAAATCTGCGTTCTGATTCGGTTCTAGCACATACCGTGTACATGGCACATACCGTGTACATAGCACATAGGTACCGGTGCCATATTGGTACCGGGTTTCAGTACCCAACCCTATTTATAAAAGTTAAGACTTGTCCACGCCCTCCTAAAACAGCTCATTTAAACACGCCCCCACATGTCTACGTCACTGTGTGGGAAGATTTGCATAACACCGCCCAAATGTTCACGCAAAGAAAGAAGGCGTAACTTTTATTCTTGCTGTAGTTTTGTTGTTGCTGCCAGTGCCATGTTGTGGAAATGCTGTGTGTTTAGTTGCGAAAAGCGAAACTACTTTGTTTGGCCTTCAAAAAGAGGATGATATCCGCTTCATCATGCCTTGAGCTGATCCGTGCTGGTCGCTGAGGAAATGCATCAACTTCGCGCTGTGGATCGCCGGATCGGCTTTCACCGTGGACGAAGCGGAGTCCAGTCCGGGGTCATCACATGTGGTTGCCGCACGCACGCTGGCCACGCTGTTCTCAAGGCTGCCGGCCTCCGCTTACTCAAGCCCGTCGTGTGTGATGCATTTTATGGAAGACTGTTTCCTGAACCTGCAGAGTAGCATACAAATGGGTCTGTGCTCAAAGGCTGTTCTATAAAGTGGGGCAGTTCCAACTTTGCAAGGACAGTCTGGCGCTTCTAACTCACAGCCTGTAAAAACATTTTTTATATTTAAAGAATTTCTCTTTTGTTGGACAACAGGTTTAGAAATGTGAATACAAGGGAAGTTTAGCTTTAGGCATTTTAATTTAAGCATGTTTAGCTTAGTTAACGGAAGGCTACCTGCTGCCATCAGAGCAAGTGTAATTACTGCATTCACGCGCTCCTCGGATGCTCTCATTTCCCGAGTTGTGCTTTCAAGTCGAAATGTGAAAACAACATGGACACGCCATGTTACACTCCACTCCGGTACTACAAAGATTTGTTGTATTTGTATTATTAGAGCTTTCCGACTTGAGTTCATGTGTATTTTCTCAGTCGGGAAATTATTTTTCACGTGGGGTGCTGGTGATGATGTTTCTTACATCCGTTTCGGAGAACCAGATGACAAATATTTCAATCGATCGCTCGGGCATGGCACCGAAATGAGGCACCGAAATCTGCGTTCTGATTCGGTTCTAGCACATACCGTGTACATGGCACATACCGTGTACATAGCACATAGGTACCGGTGCCATATTGGTACCGGGTTTCGGTACCCAACCCTAATGTTGGGTGCCCATGTCACATACTAAATGGCACTGTGACTAATTGAGATAAACCTTTGCATCAGATCATGATGAAATTCTCTCAACTCTAAGGAATTAAAGAGTTAAGCGACTAAGGCCCATCTGTGTTCATTCTGATTGTGGTAATTGTAAAATTGTAAGCAATTGCCGTTTCTGGATTCTGTTTAGAGGATATTTTGTAATAATATTTGTTACATTTCATTTGCTTTTGCTTATCTCAGGTGTTATTGAACATCACAGAAGTAATTTCCCTCTGCTCGTCTATGATTTACTCGCATCTGGTTTAATTTACCCAGCATTGTTGTTTATCCAATTCCTAAATTGGACAGTGACCCCACGATGTCTCTGTGTATAATTTCATCTTCATCATTCACCCAGACATGAGGGATGCTGCCTGCATGTCATTCGTCATGACCCAATCAAACGTGATGGATCAGGTGCTTATTGTCAAGTTGGAGGCTAAATGCTCGGGTCAGGAGCAGATGGTATCATTGTGCTTGGTAGGACATTGCAGTCCGCAGGCGAATTCATTAACCTCGATGTCATCTGCCCGATTGGAATGTGTGCTTTCTTGCTTTGCACCGGTTGCCCATTCATAGGGAGGACACTGCCTGTCCTCCATTTTCGTTTCAAAAAGGTCAAATATATAGTGTCTGAATTTTTTAGCAATTTGTTTCAGTAATGCAAGTTTCTTTATTTTTAATGTTCATTTTTAATTTTGAATGATTCAGGGTCAATGACAAAGTGTCCAAGATGGAAAATGAAAGAAAAGGGGATAATCTTTTAAAATTAAAAATCTAGTTTAAAATGTGTGTGCCAAGTTCTTTGTGGAATCTTGATCTCCAATGTCGCAAGTTCAAATGATCTGACACGGAATAATGATGGTCTTCAAGGGTCCTCTCTGTCAACATTTTTTTTCTGATGCTAATATTTGTTTAAAAGTAACTAAATAAATAATAGTGTGTGCCAAACTATCCAATAAGGTTTTTTTTTTTTTTCTAAGAATGTCATTATTCTTCAGCATTTTCCTCATTATGATGTTAAGACTGACTTTATGCTCCCAAAATTAATTCAATTTAGTAGATCCAGGCAAAAAATAAATTGGCATTATGGTATTGGACTCTTCATCCACTAGCTGTTTTAGCATCCACAAATTTTCACAAGCTGTCCTCCTGTTTGCAGCATGTTCTTGGCGTTTTGCCTGCTTGATTTGTGATAGTGTCTTAAGGAATTAACATTTTCTTGGAACGTGCATTGCTGCATCGCTAAAACAATATAACATTGTTGTGGGCCATCTATCATGTGTCTGGCAGGTCTTGTTGCCTTAAGCATATCCATATCATTCTAAAATCCACAAAATGGGGAGATAACAAAATGGACTTTACAACCCAAGCATTCCCAGGAAAGCACCTGTTTTTTGCGGTTGCATGTCAGGGGAACGTCACTTAATCCTCCACTGAGTCTGTTAATTCTCCACTGTGAACATGGGGGGGGGGGTCTCTTAAAAAGACACGGGCAGGACCTTCTCACATGCCACACATTCCTATCCGCTGTGTAAAGTTTAGAAGGGTTTTTGTCTGAGGAGAGAGAGCACTTTATACCCCCCCCCACATACATACATGCTCCAGTTTGTTTAGGGGTTGCCATAGTGATGTTCTAACAGTCGAGAGATGAGTCATCATCACACCTGTGTTTTTAGAAGAATGGACCTTTATCGCACCGGAATTGAACATCGGAAGAGCTTGTCAAAGCAGTGTATCAATTATGTATGTATATTATGTATATACATACATAATGGTTATGTATATTTTTCAATGTGCTGTAATCATCTAGTTGAATGAAAGCCTGTTAAAATGAGCATCTGCCTGATGATTTCAAAATCCGGACATTTTCAGAGACAGGCGAAGAGATATTCTTATGATTACGGTGTACAGAATTTTCCAAACTCAACGGAACTTATAATTTTAATCCAACGTAAACCAAACTGAGAAAGCCGTGGCTCGTAAACGTGCGTAATGATTTCGCCACACAGTGCTGCAGTGTGTGCGACACCTGATAAATAAGATCAGAATTAACATTTTTACATATGTATTAAATTTTATTCATTATTCTGTCATTTTTCGTTCACAGTCATTTCACTGTATCTAATTCACATTTATGCCAAAATTCTTAAGGCACACTGTCAACGCATTATACTGTTTAAGATTAATTAGCCAAACTGTTCAACATTATTACATTTCTTTAAAGGGGTCATAGGATGCGGCAGATGTAGACAAGAATGACTCCTAAGCGATTGAGGTGTTCTGTTGTTGGATAATATAATGAACAGCAGTCGTCATTTACTCCCGACATCTGAACCGCTGAACTCGCAGCGGATTACGTTTGCTTCTGAAGGGAATGCGCCCCCGATCTACATAAATGCTTCTGTGTTCCTGCAAAGTCATTCATGATCCAGCCTCATCTACAGAAGAAGTGAGTATAATGTTTTGTAATGAATCTTTGCAAATCGCCTTTCCTAATAATGTGCTAATTTGCAAGTTTCTCGATGAATGCGGCTAGAGTAAACAGTCTCTCTGAGAGCAGCTCGGAAGAGAGGGGTGGGGTCAGCGGAGCTCATTAACATTTAAAGGAAAATGCTACAAAAACGGCTTGATCTGAAAAGAGCTGTTTTTGACAGGGTAAAAAAGGTGTTTTTTTTACACTACCATTGAGAAATTTTAACCAAACTATGTTACAGACTTTTCATTAAGACCCCAAAGAATCATATCAACTTGTGGAAAATGGGCATCCTATGACCCCTTTAAGGCAGCGTCTGCGCATTCATTCATCTATTTTAATACTGCTCTTATGAAAATTAACCATGGTATGTGTAGCAAAACTGTGGCGATACAAATGTAAATCAGTACGCGGAAAAAATAAAATAATAAACATGGTTAATTTTTGTAAGGGTGTTTATCAGTCAAATTCATTTAAAAAATGTAAACTGGTATGAAATATCAGTAAGAGAAAAACGTTAATGAGAAGACGAACTTGACTGCAGCAGGTTAGTTGGGAAAGAAATGTGTTTATTCAGAATGCACATTTGGAAGGGAAATGTATTAATAGGAACATTTCAGCATGTGATATGAGACGTAGGCCTAAACATCCTCAGTTTCGAAATGCATACTCCACACGAACGTGCTCCCGCATAATATTTTAGAAGGACCTTAATTCATCCCACGCATCTCATCCGTGTTGTGTCAGGAAATCATGAAAACTGAGGCAGTGTGTCATTGTTTAGATTTAAAGCAGCCAGGTACGCTGCAGTAACACCGGCGAAAGAGAGGATTCTCCCATTAGTTTTGACTGCGTTCCGATGGGACCGGAAGTGGCGATACACTGCTTCACTTACCAGATATAGGAAGTGTGATAAAGGTCTATTCCAACCAAAAAACTGTGTTTGCAATTGGTAAAGGACAGAGACAAGTGTTACTCAAAGAAATATCCCAAGTTCACCCCAATACAATTGCTCGCCATTTCATACAGGCCTTGTTGCCAATGTTATTGGCATAACGGCTCCTTATAGATGCTCACTTGCTCTCCAGTTTCATTGGCTTCAGGACAAAGATTCATTGGAACCTGTGTGAGATGAAGAGTTTTTCCTTGCAATTCATCACCAAATTGCTTGGAAACTTTTGACAGGTGCAATTTTGTCCCTAACGCTTGGTCGCAGTAACTCAGTGTGGTCCCCTCCCTGCAGAATACAGTATTGCTGCAGCTAAAAAAAGATTAACACTGTTTTTTATTTATTTATATTTTTAAGTGCAAAGAGAACAATCTAAGGAACCTGTGCCAGCAAGTCAAAACCCACAAGTGTTGTTTTCCAGTACTTACTGTACTTTCTTTTTAAGCATTTTCTCACTGCTCGCAATGCTGAGCAACCACACACATTGTAAACAAATTTTATTAATACAATTTTGTACGCCTGCACTTTCATTATCAGGATGAGGCAACAATGTTATACCCTAAACGGATTTTTCTGAGAATCAGTCTTAAAGTAGTTTGATGTTGTTTGTTATTACACCTAGCCTCTGGTGGTCAATAGGAGGTGTTTGATGCCATGCTGATTGTTTCACAAGTAGATACCCTATTAATCCTGTTCTGTTTCCTTTCTAATAAATGTCAGGCAAATGGCAGCGATCACATTTGCTAACACTTCATTGATACATTCCCACTTTTCATTTGCCTTGATTAGGCTTTAATGTGCATTGTAACACCAACCACAATCCCTTGAGGTTTGTTTAGTCTGGCTTTATCACACTTGCCGGTTTGTTTGATCTAAACTCATTTTGGTAAAGTGTAACAAAATGGTTTGGTTTGAAGCATGGCAACTTCTGTCTGGTTGATCATGGCTGTTCTGTGTTTATAGATGGATGGCATGGCTTGTTACCTCTGAACAAAAGCCATGGCACAGAAACTTGGGGTGTTTGTGTGCTGTAAAGCTTCAGTGACTGTTTGTTCTCAGTTTGTCTGACGCAATGGATCTGTCTTTTGTCTAATGAGTTTTAAATTGGTTGACTTTTACTGAAACTGCATTGTGTAGGATGATTAGTCATTAGACTTTGTCAATTAGTAATTTGTTTGCAAAAAAATTGGACATAATTATAGTACATCAGGAAAGTAACTTCAGTCGTACTTAAAGGGTTACTCCAACCCAAAATGAAAATTCTGTCATTAATTATTCCAAAACCCTAAGGCCTCCGTTCATCTTCAGAACACAAATTAAGATATTTTTAATGCATTCTGAGAGCTCTCTGACCCTCCCATAAACAGCAATGTAAGTAACATGATCAACGTCCAGAAACGTAGCAAGGAGATGGTAAAAAAATCCATGTGACATCAGTGGTTCAACTGTAATTTTACGAAGCTAGGAGAATACTTTTTGTACGCAAAGAAAACAAAAAATAGCGACTTTATTCAACAAATCGGATATGTTTTCTACGTTTATTTGTGCTTTGATTTGAACGAAAACAACATATCCACATGGTGCGGTTGACAGAACAGCATACGCTGTTTATGTTCAGTGGATACTCTACAAAATGGTGCTAGGGTGACGCGGAGGAGACGAATGGTTGAATAAAGTCGTTATTTTTGTTTTATTTGCGTACAAAAAGTATTCTCATGGCTTCGTAAAATTATGGTTGAACCCCTGATGTCACATGGATTAATTTACCGATCTCCTTGCTACGTTTCTGGACGTTGATCGTGGTAGTACCCTTGCTGTCTATGGGAGGATCAGAGAGCTCTAAGAATTCATCAAAACTATCTTCATTTGTGTTCTGAAGATGAACGGAGGTCTTACGGGTTTAGAACGACATGAGGGTGAGTAATTAATGACAAAATTTTAATTTTGGGGTGGAGTAACCCTTTAATACATTTGAAACAAGTTATATGCTATTAAACTAAGTCAAATCTGAATTTGTGTTATGAAAGTATAGTTATGAGTGTTAAAGGACACAATTTAACGTGTCATGACCCCCTTTTCTTAAAAGGCAGTCAGGGTGGTTCAGTATAGACATCACTGAGGTGTCTGTGGGACATGTCTCGACTTGTTCCGTGAGTCACAGGAACAACACAGATGACGAGCAGTCACCTCCTTATGTGACCTCCTTTATCTTTAGTGGGATTTTTTCAAAATGATCATGAAATCTTGTGAGTAAACGAGAGCCCCACTGGCATGTATCTGATTTGTAGGGAACCTTTTTTGTCACTTGGTGTTAGTAGGCTAACAGAATTGTTGGTAACACTGCAGCAAGTTCCCATTAGTTAATGTTGCTTATAGTTATAGTTCATGAGCAATACATTGGTTACAGTATTAATCTTTGTTAATGTTAGCTAATTAAAATCCTGCCAGTCATTGTTAGTTCATGTTACCTCAGGTCCATTAAATATGAACAGATACCACTTTTGACTTTAATAATGTATTGGTAAATGCTGAAATTAACATTAACTAAGAATAATAAATGCTATAGAGTTATTTTTCATTGTTAGTAACTAATAGTGGAATAGTAACTAGTAGTGGAATGGTATTGTAAAGTGTTACAGACATTTCTTCACTAGTTTGCTGCTTGTTTTCAACAGTTATTTCAGTGTAATTGCATGGCTTATTTGTTCTGGTTGTGGTTTTACTCCACTGCTAACTAAATGGCACACCTCTGTGTATTTCAGTATATATATATATATATATATATATATATATATATTACTTTAAATATATTAATTCTTTTTTACACAACCCTTGTATGTCTGTCTATGCTTGGGCGATCTTTAATCATGCAGTCCACACAAAAAACCACCCCGAGTGGCAAATACCACCTGCTCAGTCTGATGGAAATAACACGGGGAGGGGCCGGCAATCGTCTTCAGCAGCTATGGGGCGGGCTCAGGAACCGCAACAAGTGGAAGGCGTGCACCACCCGGTTTCGGTTGAATATAATCTCAGACTCTTCCACTTTCGTCCTCTGGCTGCATGCACATCTCTGTTCACTGAGCTGCACCATTCACTTCCTCATCTGCAGAAAACCTGTCATCTGATCCCTGTGTGTGCTCCCAGTGAATCCCCATGAGAGTCAGCAATTCATTTCTGTCCATTTTTGTTTTTGTTAATAATGTAACACAATTATTGCATGGCTCCCTGGAATACTTGAATCCGATTTGTCGGTCGCAGAATTCAGAGGTCAAATGTTCTGAATAATGACAGCTGTCTAGGACAATGCTGTGTAACTGACCTGCTCAATTGGAAATCTGTTTCCTACATGGCAGTGCTTGTGTTCTGTCTCGCCGCTGTCTCTACAAGTAAGCTAATAAATTAATTTAAACTCAAATCAATATTTTATGTCCATTTATTTAAGCAGCCGTGTAATAAGCAGGATAGTGTACAATCAGCCAGTCATTATTACAAAATAAACACCATGTTCATCGAGACTCAAAGCTGAGATTTTTTTCTCCCTTCAAAACTCTAGTCTCTTCTAAATCTCTTGTCTTTTCATGCAATGAATTAATTTCATGTCTGTGTATTTCAGAAGCAGCATTGCAACATGGAATAATATACAGTTGCCAATAAACCCATTCAAAGTGATCTTTCACTTCAATATATATATATATATGTATATGTGTGTGTGTGTGTGTGTGTGTGTGTGTGTGTGTGTGTGTGTGTGTGTGTGTGGTATGTATATGGTTTCAAAAGATTTCTAGATATATTTCATAAAATCTTGAGTGCTTTACTATGGAGAAACATCATTTAAAATAATATTATATGACTCCAGTCCCTACTAATAGAAAGAAATAGAAAGTCCAGGTTTTTGTGCTGGGTGTCAGGAAGAGGGGAGGCTCTGAAGAGGGCAGGGTCTCGTTCTCTCTCTCTCTCTCTCTCTCTCTCTCTCCTTCTGTTCGCTCAGTCAGTCCGCTCAGAGGACGGTCAATGAGACAGACGGGGCGAGTCGTTGGTTTCTTCCGTTCGGCTTCATATGCATCCGTCTGTGGATGAGTATGTCCCTGTCGGATCTATCCGGGATTAATAGAGCCCTTATCACGCAGATATATTTCCATAAATTCTTCATCGACTCTCAGTGAATCACAGCCGGATTATCGTCATCACCATGGGTTTCTACGGCACTTTAAAGATGATCTTCTATAAAGTGAGTACACGCCGTTATTCGTGTTGGGTGCACTGCGGCTTTTATATTCATACGGCCATCCGCCTTCTCTCGGAGGGCTCGCTTTAATACCCCATCAGCCCTGACGCGACGCGACGCGACAGGAACGCTCCCATTATGAATTAAAGAAGCGGCGTACACTGCGAGCCTGCGATGTCGGTTCGCACAGCGCGATGTGTAATATTCAAATACGATGCGCGCGAGTGTAATGTACACATCTTGGTTGATTATTATGCCAGCGTTCGAGTTTGTCGCGTCGCGCTCTGAACGCGTACACGACCTCGGTGCTCGTCTTTAAGGGTGCGTCGGTGAAATATGCGACTGTTCTTATATACGGCCACTGCGGAAAAATCTCCAGCTGACAGAGAATCAGCTTTCGCGATATTCATTCACGTGAACCTACTTTGAGTCTTCTTGACAAGAACCTCATATGTAGAAAAGGATGTGATGCGCTTAAATATGGAATGGGTTTGGAGAACAGAGGCTCCATCACTATTTCTCTACCATCTGCCCATCCTTACACACACACACACACACACACACACACACACACACACACACACACACACACCGCCGTACACGACCTCGGTGCTCGTCTTTAAGGGTGCGTCGGTGAAATATGCGACTGTTCTTATATACGGCCACTGCGGAAAAATCTCCAGCTGACAGAGAATCAGCTTTCGCGATATTCATTCACGTGAACCTACTTTGAGTCTTCTTGACAAGAACCTCATATGTAGAAAAGGATGTGATGCGCTTAAATATGGAATGGGTTTGGAGAACAGAGGCTCCATCACTATTTCTCTACCATCTGCCCATCCTTACACACACACACACACACACACACACACACACACACACACACACACACACACTGCACCTGCGATCCCTACATCGTGCATATCTATCCATCCCCATGCATCTCACCATCACCGCATCCATCCTAGTCTTGTGTACTTGTATAGATGATTTATTTGATCTTATAAGAGTTAACTGCTTGACTCTTATTTTATAGTTCAAATGAGTATGCTATCGTATTTGGTACTCATTTTACTGCACCATTCGAAGTAAACCTGTTGGTAATATTAATTTGTGCTTTGCAGTCATGTAGGCTGGTATAGAGCAGAAACAGTATCTGGACTCTCACTGTTATTGTGGTCATGTTAATGTGGAACGTACAGTCACGAATGTCCTATAGCTTCAGTGTTGTGCTATGTGAATGATTTTGTAATTATTTTGAGTCGTGTCAGTGTGGTAAAGCCTCAGTTTCTGTGCTGCCTGTTGAAGGGTGTGTATATTCTCCACTGCCTGGCGGCATCAGTCCACAATGATTGGGTTACTGTGTCATTGCATTTGACGGAGGAAACAGAGCCACATCTGTCCCGAAAACTCACACGTTATGAATTTGTAAATTTGAGTGAAATGAGCTTTTAAAGCGGAGAGCTTATCAGAAGCTCGCAGTCACTGCAGTTTTCAGGGTGTCCTCTGATCAGAACAGCATCGAGTGAAGTGCAGTGATGTTGACGGATGCTCCAGGCAATCTCGTTAATTGTTTGCTTATAAAAACGAAGCTCGTTAAGGATGTTTGATGTTCTTAGATGGACAAAATGTGAGGATGGATCATGTGATTTTATCCCTAACCTTCATGATACTCAAGTTTTGACTTCTAGCAATTCATGGCTCCTGTATTTGTATTTGACTGGGTTGTATTTGTGAAGCACAGCACTCTTGCATATCTAAATATGTAGTCATTACCAATCTAAGAAGCTTCTGAAATCCATAGCAAGGTTATTCATTCATAGATCACCGGATTTATTCACTAAAACAGGTTATTTGCCAAGACTGCACCGGTTTACATGAGCACAGGCATTCCTGTTAACCACAGACCAAGCCATTTCTGCACTGTGGTGTCAGACATGGAGAATGATTACACAGTGACTCATCTAAAATCAGATGGCTCTCGCTGTGAACCCAAGAGAGAAGCGACAGTCTAATCAACTCAGTGAAATGAATGTATAACTAAGCAAATGAATGCTTTTACTTAGTTCACGCTATTTTGTGTTGTGCTTTTTACCAAGTAGGCTAGACAGGCTTAGCTATTAGCAGTGATTAGCACGTGTGGCATAGTTTTGTTGCACATTCTTGCGGAGTAATGTGAGAGTCTCAATGCTCTTGAACACACACAGCTACAGGCATACACTTTCATGCGTCTTCAGTGTCATGCCATCTTTTTACTATCTTATCTTCATTCATACGTATTTACACACACCCTGCCTGTCCTATCTGTTGGACTACCTTTGCAGCTGCTGTTCAGTCTAAACTGATCCTTGCCAAGTTGGCCTGAAAAACAAACTTGATTTGGAGGGGGTTAATAAATAAATGGAACTATGTTCTGAAAAAGACTAGACTGTATACATTGAATCAAATTATTTTTGTGATTTAATTAGATTTGGTCTTATTTCCACAATTTATGGACGTTTCTGTTGTACTTAATCTGGGGGGGGGGGTTTGGCTGTTTTTTTTCTCTCTCCGGCCCTCATTTACTGTGATTCTCAGAGTGTGGTCCCTTCAGAAATCCATACCGAGCTTCATTATCAGACACGCCTTTCAGCTCGACCTCACTCAAGTGTATCAAACACCTGGCTCCTCTGACATTAGATCAATTGCTGCAAATGTGATCATGCAAGTGTTTTATTGGTTTCATTTGAATACCAAGACCAATGAATGTAATTTTTACTGTAGCACAAAACTCTAAATTGACCACAAAAAGGTCAACCGTGAACACGTTTACATGCATAATTCCATGAAATGTCATGAATGCTTTAAGAAAAACTAGGAATGCATTAATATTAAAATTGTCACTGATAGTGATACATCAGTGATTATTTTTGTCATGTCTAATAATTGATAAATGGCATAAATAAAAACAGTCTTTAATACTCAAAGTCTGCATTTATGTGATCAAAATACAGTAAAAAAAAAAGTAATGTTCTGAAATATTACAATTTAAAGTAACATGTCTTTCATGTTTCTTAATGTGATTTTTTTTATTGTAATGGCAAAGCTGAATTTTCAGCAGTCTTTATTGTCATCAATGTTGAAAGCTTTTTTTGAAAGCAAAATGTTTCAAAAGAAAAGCATTTCACATTTAGTTTTTTTTTTGGTAACAATATAAAAGTCTTTACTGACACTTCTTATCAATGTAATGCAATATTGCAGAACATATATATGTATTAAATATAAATAAATATATCAATATAAATTATGTTTGTAGCATAATAATGTTCTTTTACCGCAGATGTACTCTTTAAACACTGTATTCTGGCTGTTTATTCAGTATACCCTTTTTTTTATTATTATTTTTTTTTTTTTTAGTCTTTACTATTTTTAGAGACTTTTTGATATGACATGTTTTTTAAATAGTTACTATTATATAGTACTAATAACTGTAAGTACTGAATGTTCCTTACAAGCACAATGCCATCGTAATTTGAATATCATTTCAGACCTGTTAATTATCATGATGCATTACTGCATTGTAAACGGTATGGACTTAATTCAGTAGTGAAAGTCTTTACTCATCACTCTTAATTTGTGCTTACATACTTAATGACTCACAAACCCTTGGCAGGGCACAATAATTTATAACTCTGAGTCTATCACTGAGCTCCTCCTGAAAGTGAACTACACAGATTCACTGGCAGCCCTGTACCCTGCTAAAATAGTTTTATTCAAATGTGCTTTAGGACCTCATTGTGTTGAGGACACTGAACCCTTGTTTTTCCAGAGTAGATGCTCCGTAGCCAGGCACCAACTATGCAGCAATACCAGGGCCATTTCAGCCTGTGTTTGGGGGGTGGGTGACATAGAAAGAGACAGTGAAGCATAGGAGGGTGGCTCTTTTTTCTCCTTTATGCCCATATACATTTAGACTGTTGTGAAAGCACAGTGCCTGTCATGCCCACACAGATGTGTGTCTGTGTGTATGTGCTCCCCTTTCCAACTCCTATGAGGGGTGTGTGTTTACCACATACACCTCTTTGAAGACTCATATGACAAGCGTTAGCATCAGCTGTCAGACTTTCTTTTCTGTGCCATGTCACTATAAAGTGGACATGACCTTCCTTCCTTTGGCCTACATTTGGTGGTGAGAGAGCTAGCACAATACCCAACACACACTCTAGTACAATACCCACTCGCTCAGTCACCTCTTAACACAGGAAAGAACACAGGTGGATCAGTAGCATGTGGTTTGAAACGGGTTGAGGAATGTTTTAGAAATATTTCTTGGACATCCACCCTCTCATTACTGTCAACTTGCTTTGCTGGTTGTTTGTGCTGTCATTATTGTTTTGTCCTCTGTGAACCCAAACTAACCAGCACTCTCCATGCTCTTTGTTGCAGATGAAGAGGAAGTTGGACCATGGCCCCGAGGTTCGACCTTTCCCTTCAGGAAAAAAGCCCTGTCCAAGGTAAATCTTTTGCCACCTTACCTGAAACCAGCAAAATGTTTTAGCCTATGTTGCATTAAATTTTATTGGTCACATCTACCTTTTAGAACAGTAACAGAGTTGTATGAGATATATCCCTCTTTATGGATTATTTTTTATTATTTTTAATTCATTAGTTTATTACAAAATTATTTTATTTATTAAATAAAATTGAAGATTTTAATTAAATTAAATGTAATTTTTATTATTTTTTAAATGTATTTATTAAAAAAATATTTTATTTATTAAATAAAATTGAAGATTTAAGATTTTAATTAAATTAAATGTAGTGTAATTAAAAAAAAAAAAAGAAATACCAGGATGAATTAAATTGATTACAAGTTCTTTTGAAAAAAGAAAAATCACAGAAAAGTTACAGGGGGAAAAAATGTGTAACGATTTCTATAAAAACAAGTAGCACAACATTTTTCCAGTATTTAATATATTGCACCAAATCAGCAATATGTAATGGCTGCTTCAGCTGTTACATCACATGAATAAATTATTTTCTTTAAATATGTTAAAATAGTAAATTGTTGAATTGTAATAATATTTCACAGTATTATTGTTTTTGAGTGCATTTTTGATCAAATAAATACAGCCTTGTTGAGCACAACATTAAAAAATGTTATTGATCCCAAACTTTGCAAGAGTAGTGTATATTTATTTTAATGTTTGATAATCCCCCATTAGCCTGGTTTCCATCCACAATTTTTTAAGATACCACAAAAAATGCTGGATGGAAACGCTAAAATGCTAATAAAAAGTAAGGTGGGAGAAATTATGAAAAAAGTAACACATGAACATAAACTATCAAAAACACATTTTACATAAATTCCTGCATCAAAAATGTCATGTGACCTAAATAATTTGCTCAGATGTCTGGCTTTAATCCCCACCCCCACTTCGATCTCTAACAAGCACAAAGTCCGTCAGATTTTTTTGTCTGCATGCTCTTAACCACAAGTATTCCTAGTTTTGCGCAAATTTCCACGGAAATTATAATGCTGTCCTTTAGAACGCATGGGATAAAAACGTAGCTTTATTCATACATTTTTACTTCACCTAAATTAAATTCACAAATTGAGGAAACATTTTTAACACTTACTTGCATACAGAATTATGATCATATTTTCTTTTGCTACCTTGCAAGAAGTACTATATACATCAGGAAGTGCAAATCTAGCTTATTTTGGACCTGCTAATAGTTTAGAAATTACACAGTCACTCTGAAACCCCTTAAACATGAACTCAAACCCAAGCTCAGCAGTCAGCTCTGACGAGTATTCATGCCTTATTCTCAAGACTCAGGTGTTCTCATGGTTCATATTAGAACAGTACACGACCAACCAGGCAGCAGTTGCGCGCTGGGTAATTGAAGCATCTTGGTCTCAAATCCCATTAAATATGAATCCATTATGAAATGGACCTCACTACGTGCTCGCCTGCACTCTTCCCTCTCTCCTTCTCATCTGAGCATTTCTTGCACCGGAGAAGGTATCCGTAGATAAGCAGAATGCAAGGAAACAGTGCTGAATCGTCTTTTTGGTGTTAGTGTATGGCCCCAGAGACACAGAAGTGCTGTAAGGACTGCTGACATGGGACAACTCTCTGTGTCCCTTTCTCACCACAAGTGGAAAAGGAAATGTGCTTCAGTTCTTAATAGTTTGCAAACATTAAATGCTTTTGAGCATGTTTTAGATGGACTCTAAAAAAAAGTGTAAAAAGTAAACAGAAAAGGGTTTCCATGAATGAAACAAAGATGAAGATAAACATCTGAATTAATCGGTTTAGAGCAGGTGGCTGAATAAAATCATGCTGCCTGATTGAGTTCTGAGGCTGAAGTAAATGGTCATGTTGTCTAATGTTGGACCACAACAGCGGCTCGAGTGGACTGTAGTGCTCATCTGGCACAGATTCAGTCTAACTCACCACTTTGGTTTTGGCTGTAATTCTCAAGCTATTCTGAAATAAAGCCTCAGATTTCCATAGTAGCTTCATCCACAGAACCATTTTGTTTTGAAATCTTCCGTAAACGACAGGCTTGCACCATATTCTTGAATTACCACAATACAGATGTCTCCTGTCAGAGATGTCTCACCAGAATGCCCTTAGAATATTTTTGCTACAAATGGTTTCATTCAATGTGTTTTAAATCTTATTTTGTCTCTTTCCCACTCTTGATGTCTAATTAGTTTTGCTCTGTTCTCATCCTTCTCTCCCTTACCCTCACCGAACAGTCCCACAGGACTGCCGTATCCAGCCACCCCCACCACGTTTAGGGACATTCGAGCAGTCAATGGGCAGGGTCAGCAGAGACGACGTATCACATCCATCCAGCCCCCTACAGGCCTGCAGGAGTGGCTCCGCACCTTTCAGGTGAGTTCAACCAAACTATTTGATTCCGTTTGTTACCAGGCTTTCCAGATTAATTTATTAATTTAACAGATTAACTTCATGGTTAAATTAACTTAACTTAGCCTAACTGTAGCCTGTTTATGGTTATCAGTGAACATTATATAAAGTTCACCAAGCATTAATATAGAATTTAAATCACATATATTGTGCATATATTTGTTTCCTTTACTTATTGTTTCCTCATTCCTCGTTATGTGCAGAACTTCTGCTGAGGACCATAACTTTTGCTGTAGTCTGGTTTTAATGTATTAAATACTTTTGTTACTTAGATCATCATCTGACTGAATCTATACTTGATATTTGAACACATGTGGCCATTATGCCACAAGTTTGGAACTGTTTAGATCTTCATATCATCATGTCATATCCCTCTTACTAGAATAACAATTCAAGCCTCAACAGAAAGCAGAGGCTCCACCTCCACAGTCGGTGTTTGCTCTGCCTTGCAGATAATTACAGGCTTGATCAGTCCTCGGGCTTAACGAAACTGCTCTGGCATGAAATCACAGATACCTGTGTTGACTGAAAGGATGAAGAAGCTTTCACCTAATGAGTAAAGTTTCGCCCAAGATATGTTCTTGCATCTTCCGAATTAATTTTGAGTGTTATGCTAGATTTCCATTTACTCAAAAGATCCTTTAATAAAAGTGTGCACGTAATCCTTTATGACGTCAAAGGTGAGTTGTGAGATGCTGTCTCAGACAGAATCAACAGTCAGGTACAACATCCTTTCAGTAGTGGTCTGTCTACACCATTATGCCAGTTTTGCTTGTTTGCTCAGTCAGTACTTGTTGAGTTGCTTATTTCTGTCCTGAGTTATTGTAAGGCTTATTTCAGGAGGTGCAAATGACACCGCGCATCCCTATGAGTCAGCAGCTTCACTATCGCTTACGTGATTCACATTAAATGTCTCATTTCTGCATTCTACAGTGGAAGCCTGTGTGGTGATATATCTCAGTGGCAGTTCTGTGTATTCAGGGATGAAGTCTGGCACTAGATTGCAACCTTGTCATTTTGTATACATGGAGCTCTGGCAATGAATGTTAAATATGTGATTTTGGAAAAGAAAAACAACCTTAATGTCTTGGAACTGTCTACAATTATTATTTTTGTCTCTAGTTTTGCTTGGGGATGAAAAAAAATGCATATTTTGATTAATAGAGAAACAATTTTTTTGAATAATAGAAAGAAGAACAGTATTTATTAGACTAAAAATATAATTTTTTATAGAATTTTTCACAATGTTTTCCAAACCTTTGAATGGTAGTGTATATAAAATAATACTTATTATTATTATTATTATTATTATTATTATTATTATTAAACTTGCTCTTTATAAGTGCATTATCTATTAAATTATTTTTTAAAAAGCCTTATCAAGTAATCACAAATGACAATGTCTTTGAAAAGTAATGGAAATTCATTAAGTTTGGGAAGCCCGTATGTGTCTTTTGCTTAGTTTAATTTGTTGGCTTCAATTAAAGAATCGACAGAATTGAACATTTCAATCTGATTTTCCCTCAACTGTATAATGTTGTCTTATTATTTTGAGCTGTTAAAAGAGGCAGTTATGCTTGCATAAACACATATAGACATAAAACCAGCCTGTGACAACAACGCCGAGTTCCCCCAGCTGAAGCATTTCAGCAGTAAATTACGGGTGCTTTGCCTCCCCATAGTCCTCTTCTGTACATCCCTCTTCCATCATAAACATCCCTGAGCAATCCTTCTCTCTCATTTGATGCACTTCAGAGGGGAATGACTTTGGCACAATCTCTCCGGTGCAGCGCGTCCTCACTGAGAGCGAATTAAGTTCTGAGCACCATGAGATCAGCGAAACATTTTATTCAACTGGATGAAGTTGACCGCAGCTTAATTTTAGGAGAACGAACCCTGGGAAGTTTCCAACAGCCCCAAGACACGAAGTCTGATCCATTTGACTTACGAGAACCTTCATGGTTACACTCATGCCAGAAGTTGCTGCTGTATAGCCAGCGAAAAAGCATCGGCAGTCCTAATTAAAATGTAAATCTAAAGCTCTTAATGGAAATGGATGGCTCTTGGATCTGCACATTATTTGTGTTCTTGGTAACATATGTGCTGATGTGTGTTAACAGAGCTGGAGTGGCCCAGAGAAGCTGCTTGCGCTGGATGAGTTGATTGACAGCTGTGAGCCCACGCAGGTGAAACACATGATGCAGGTGATCGAACCACAGTTTCAGAGAGACTTCATCTCGCTCCTGCCCAGAGAGGTAAATTTCTATATAAAATCACTCACACAGTCATCTTAAGGTTCAGAAACTTCATCAAATAAATTATTTTCATTAAAGTTAATGAAAACAAGACACGGATTATCTTTCAACTTTTAGATGCTACTAACATAGCAAACTTAGACAAGTAGTTTAAAGTAGAAGTTGAATAGAAGTTGCATAGTCAATCAGATTAGATATGTCCAGATTAAGAAAAAAATTGTATCCAATAGAGTGCAACTGATTTTTAATGATAACTTGCAAACCGCTAAATTCATACCTACTCTGAGTGAAGAGGTTGTTAAAGAATGCTTTTGTTGAAGCCATTAAACCTGCATAATATCAATGTATTTATTTATTTTTTAATAATCATGTCTAACAGTGGAATTCCTGATGAAAAACTACATTACCCATAATTCTACAAATAATTTATGAAAAGCATAAAATAAAATTACACCAAAAGAACACTTTAGTGCCCGCTCATTTGTGTATTGATGCATATTTTGCCATTGATGTAAAATAGATAGTTTTTTTAAATATATAATCTAACATTTTTAAATAGATTTTTATATATCTTTTTTTAATTGCTTGTCATCCACACTACTTCATGGGATTGTAGTTCTTTACCTCATTAAAGTCTTGTACCTTTTCACATTTTCCCCCCCTTCAAATCAAAATTTGTAATGTTGTGATTCACTTTGCAGCTCGTTGGTTGGTTCATGGCTTATATCTCTTTAGTAAATAAAAATGGAAAATGAATAAGAAAAATGCTTCTGGAACCAAGGCTGCTGAAAAATATTTGAACACTCTCATGGCAGCTTGTGACTGTTTCGTTTTGGCAAATTGTTTGCTAATTTGTATGTATTTGTACAATTTAATTTATAGGTTAGTTTTAGGAATGGACCTTCATTCTTATTTATTTTCTAAAACTCGTACATTTCACTATGAATCTACTAAAGCCCAGATCTTGAAAATAACCTTTTCATTTCTCTTCATTTTAATTTGAACACAGTCTTGCACTTTATGGCTCTGATATTTGACAGGGTGGTTTTAGATTACAGTAAGTGCTGGAGTTCATTTGACAGGCATGTCCTCTCTTACACCTCTTCAGAGAGCTATTACAACTCTCTCAGCTGCTATTCAGGAATATAGAGAGGAAACTTCCCCATCCCCTTCCCTTTCTCTGCATTTTTCTTTCTTTAACAGCAGCCCTCTCTGCCTTTCATCCTCTCTTCTTGTCACTGTTTCAGCTTGCCTTTCTTGTTCTCCATCACCTGTGATCTTGTCTCCCTCTTTCCTGGCTCTCCTCCCCATCAGGTTGTTTTTCTTCTGTGTCATTGCAGTATTCAGGGTGTGTCTGTCTGCCTGATTGAAGCAGATTATGGAAAAGGCTCCTCTAGGCTAATACTGTACACACTGTGGAATCTCAGGCTGCAACCTTCATGCTAGATTGCATAAGGAATGGTGGAACTGTTTGGACATGCTCTGTCTGAGGTCTTTGCCAATTGCAGCACTCTTGAAAATGGGAGAACAGAACAAAAATGTACTTTGTCACTCTACTTGTGATCAAGTGAAGACCTTAAATTAATACGGTTAATTGGTCTAAATTATCCAGTTGTAGTCTACTTTTTCCTATCCTCACCTTCTCCTGATGTCTGACTCTGTCTGTCTTGTGTTGTAGTTGGCCTTACACGTGTTGTCATTTCTGGAGCCAAAGGATCTGCTTCAGGCAGCTCAGACGTGTCGTTACTGGCGCATTCTAGCAGAGGACAACCTGCTCTGGAGGGAAAAATGCAAAGAAGAAGGTGATTTTTACTGCTTTCCACAAACTCTGTGACTTTGGAAATTCATCCCTTAACCACATGTATATTGTTAATATATGGTTATATATCATGCACTGAATCATTAGTGCCATCAACATAGAAAACATCTGTTTTGCAGGTATTGATGAACCCTTGTACATAAAGAGAAGGAAGGTTATCAAGCCAGGGTTCACACACAGTCCCTGGAAGAGTGCCTACATTAGACAACACAGAATAGACACCAACTGGAGGAGAGGAGACCTCAAATCACCCAAGGTAGCGTGTTGTTCACTTCTTATTCTCACTCCTAATTCACCAGTACATTCCCTGATAGTGTCCTACAAAGTGGTCCTCTCAAGATATAACCCCATTTTAAATGAGATTCCCAATATTGATGCCCAGTCTGAAAGGCACAGCAAATAGCAAAAATGTTGATACATCACAGGAAGTATGCATTAATATCCAGGGAAAAAATAAATAAACAATCAAATCTTTATTTTATAAATATATGATTGTACAGTGCCATTCAATAGTTTGGGGTCAGTGAGATTGTTTTCTTCCATTTTATATTTTTGTATAAAAGTGACAGTAGAGATGTGTAATGCTGCAAAAGATTTTTGTTTAAAATAAATCCTGTTCTTTCTATTTATCAACGAGTCATGAAAAATAATCCACAAAAATATTAAGTAGCACAGCTGTTTTCATAATTCATAATAATATTTCTTGAGCACCAAATCAGAATATTAGAATAATATCTGATTATGTGAGGTCTAAGATGGCTGCTGAAAATACAGCTTTGCCATCACAGAAATAAATTACATCTAAAAGTATATTAGAAAGGGAAGCAATTATTTAAATCTCTAGTATTTCACAGTATTACTTTTTTTACTGTATTTGTGATCAAATAAATTTTTTCGACATTTCATTTTCCTAGTTCTTTGTTACTGTAAGGCATCATATTAAATCACTTTACTCACTTGGGCAGAATTGGTGCTTAAAGCTGATTTATATTGCTTTTTATAGTCTTTGTTGGCCATCTAATTGGGAATTCCTTTTGAGAGACACCCATTAGCCTGTCACCTGGGGCACAAGCTTGGAACAGAAATGTTTAAGAAATTGTCTGCACCAGCCTGAAAAGAGCTACTTAAAAGTCCTCTTGAAAGCACATTTAGGTGCCAAAAAATAGGAATCTTCAGTTACCCATGTACACATGCTTCAGCTGCACCAGACCAACTGGCAACAGCAGTGGTTTACCTAAATCATTTGTTGCCATGGTGACCATGAACCTGTCGGTTCTTGCTTGTCTCTGTCATGTTATTGAAAGCTGCTGTGTCATTTGCCACATCAGCAGCATCACATCATTCTCGCACATCACTGAAACACTAGCATTACTTTTCATTTTGTAATTACTCCTTTTTCTCTCTTGGCTTTCCTCTATTTTCAGGTGTTGAAAGGCCATGACGACCATGTCATCACCTGTCTCCAGTTCTGTGGAAACCGCATAGTGAGCGGCTCAGACGACAACACACTCAAAGTATGGTCTGCTGTTACTGGGAAGGTGAGTTTTTTTTTATTTATTTGAAGGACCTTATCGAGTAATATATAATGATATAGATAATATATAAATAATATATACATGTTTTAATACATGAATTTTCACAAATTAAAGAGATTATTCTGTTGAATATAGGCTGTAAGAATTTTAATTACAGCAGATGATTCTGTTTTAAATGAGGCCAAACACAATAATCAAATACTGTCTATTTGGCTCACACTTACATACTAACACTGTTATCGACGGATATATCGATTTACCGATATTTTTCCCGATATTTAAGCATTTTACAATAATCGGATATCGGTTTTGTAATATCGGATTCACCGATAAACGCCGCCATCTTGTGGATATGTTAAGAATTGCGTGCAGGATCACCATTGCAGCGCATCTGAGGGGAAACAAAACAACAACGGCGTGCACGGGTACTTGATTTACTGTAGTTAGTAAACTTTATTTAACATAACAGCCATTAATGCAAAAATTAGATGTATTACATAAATGCCTGATATGCAGCTTGGCTCAAAGAAATAGAGACAAACTCACGGAGTCACGTAAAATAAGTCCTGTCCCAATAAAGACGTAACTTTGCGTGAATTAAATAATATGCAGCCATGAATGGGCGCATGTTGGAAATAAAAGTGCTGAATTTAATTCGCTCTCTGTTGTCTATATGCTCATCGTCTCATGAAGTCGGAGTCACGTAGGCTAAAATAATCCGTCAAGTCCTCTCCCAATAAAGACGTAACTTTGCATTAATTAAATAATACAGCCATGAATGAGTGCATGTTGGAAATAAAAATGCTAAATTTAGTTCTCTGTCTGTTGTCTATGCTCATCATTAGTCTCGTGAAGCCGCTTTCATATTGCTGTTCACTCACCGGGTTGATGCTCAGGAAATGCTCCAGCACGGCCACAGCATGTAACTTTTAACAAGATTCACTTGTTTAAAACACCCTAAATTGTATTAACATTTACTATATAACCATTATTTCGCTAATAAACATCTAAATAGATACAACTCTATGGAAATTAATTATTTATTATCTCCACGAGCGATCGCAGTTTGAATATAGTTCTGTGTAAATGCATAGATAAACTGCGCTGTCAGCAGGCATTTCATAATCTAGAATGACAAAACCATTATTAGTAATTCTGATATAACATGCCAGTTGAGAAATGCAATAAAATACGATGTTTTGTTTGTTATATTTCAATATTCCAGAGAATATTATTCAGTGAATTAACATTATGCAGTGAATTATTCTTCACTCTTTAGCCTATTAAACATCTTATAAACCTACTAAAACTGTAGTTTAAAATGAAGTTGATATGACTCCTTTCCTTTATTTATTTTCTCCATTTGAAAACATTAGACCTTCTACATTTATTTGGCTTATTGTTAATATTAGTGTTGCTGCTGATGCTTTAAATAAAATGTTTTTTTATTGTTGTAATGTAAAGATTAAATTTAACATGAAAGACTGCTAATTTTCAACACTTTTTTTAAAGATGACTGAAAGGAGGAAAAAACAAAGTGAAGTATGGAATTACATCACTCAGTCATTTATTTACTTTATAACAGTAAATAAATATCGGTTCTGCATTCTGTTATCGGGCACATAAACATGCAAATAATTGGTATTGGTATCGGTTATAAAATATCAATATTGGTCGAACACTAATTATCAGTTAAAAAAATTGCCTTTAATTCCACTATCTGTATAAAAGATGATAACTTAATTTTCCTAATTATGACTGAATAATACATTGGTCACGGTAAATATCGTGCAACTTGGCTTTTTAACCATTTTCTGTAATGTCTGGTGGCTTTGCTTAAGTTTTCTAAATGTTTTCAGATATTTGAGGTATCCATCTTGACATGTACATAGGTGTGCAGCTGTCTCCTCTCTCTCCTCTGCTCATTCTCTGTCTTCTCACTCTCTCTCTCATGGGAGGTGTGTTTTCATTGAACATGCTTGTACAGCAGCACCATTTCAGTTCATCCAGAAAACCTGCACATGACCATCTTCATCACTTATTCACGTGAGAACGTGAGGAGTCCTGTTCTATTGAACGCTGAGATGAGCACTAACTACAAACAGCATGTCTTTCTGGCTGACTGTCTCTCTCTCTTTCTCACCTCCATTCTCTGCCATTCCCCTCCTCGTGCACTTTAAGGATTCATTGCACAAGCTTATGCTGTGACATGGTCCTTGTGCTACAAGTTTATGGCAGTTGTAAAAAAATGTGTGTGCGATTCACTCATCATGCAGCGCTGCCCTTTCCATCCTGACCTCCATTTTCATCCGGAGTCTACTGAAATCTCTCCTTGTAATGTTCACTATTATACCAGATACCAACAACGTTTGTTAGATTTTTCTCTTTTCCATCCTCTGTGTCTCTCGCTAGTCTGCTTTTCACAGAAGAGGATCTCATCATTCCCAAGGTTATCAGCCTTTGAGCTTCTGTAATCAAATTTAGCGTGCATTGATTGGCTTTCATCTTCTCACAGAAGAGACATGATTGGTTCAGCAGTAACATGCTGTCTGATGAGAGACATCATGGTAGCAGATGGCAGATGCGCCATGATTAGGGTCATCGCCACATATATGGCAGGCGGCCTTTTTGTTCCCATCATGCAGTGCTGTTTGCGGAGCTGTCGAAAAGAAGCACCAGCTTGAAAATGCTTGTAAAGCTTGGATCAGCTTCTGTTATGCAGAATTATATCCAAATTCTTTCAAAAAAAGTCTAAAACAGGCATTCAGCCAATCAGAGAGTGAGCAAACCATTTTACCGTGAAAAAAAAATGCATTTATACAAATGTATTTATTGTTGTAAAAATATTTGTAAAAACAAATCGTTTGTAAAAGATTGCAGATGTAATCTTAAGCGCAATATCCAATATTGGCGATAAATATTTAATATCGGCTAATAAGATAAACATCTAAAATGAATTAAATAGTTAAAAGTAGTTAAATTTATACATTATTTTAATTCAATATTTAAATATAGTTAAATTATTATTATATGTATTTTTAATTGCCGATATCAGCCGATAATTGATATGGTGCCGGTATATTGTGCACCCCTAATATGAAAGAGAATATAGCTGGATGAATAGTGTCTCAAGTCTGATGCAAAGCTTTAGAGAGTCCTGACTGTGGCCAATTAAACAGGAAATGCTGTGTCCTTTGAAGCGCCTGTCAGAAGAAGTGGAACAGTGAAGCAGGAGACAATAGAATTTAGTGTGACTACTTTTCTTTTACTGTACTCTTTCCTACTTTCTATTCCTTCCTGTAGTTCACTCAGCTGTGAACTATTAACTGAGTACATTAATAACGTCCAAATATACATTCTTTTTTTATGTTTTTAAGCATTTGCATTTTCCACACCACACAGTCACTTTTGATTAGCAGTCTGCAGTCTTGTTGTCATGGCCACAGCCGCAAATGTTATTTTGGCTGCATTGCCTCTCTGAATCTATGGATGTGGCCCTCCCTCCCTTCTGTTTCATTGCTTCGTTCATCTCTTTCCGCTTCTCTTACACAGTCTCTGTCTTCCTGACCTTGGGTCTGTTTACTTTTTCCTTTCGCTACACTTCAGTTCACCATTTAAGTGCTGTAAACCCCAGGAGCTCATGCAAGCAGCTCACAGGCAGATACTCACCCTCTGAGACTAAACCTTCTTGGGTTGGGATCGATAGCAGATCTAGACAAATAGGCTCCTGTGGGTCATGGGTCCCGAGTTTGTACATCACCAACCCCCATATACACACATGCTCACACAAACACTTCTTTTGCCGATTTGACCTCCATTTTCACTGAAGAATGAAAGCGTTTGCTTTCTCTTTGTATGGTGGTTGGATGTCTCATTGTCCAAGTTTCTCTCCGTTCTTTGTTTGCTTTGCTCTGATATTGTCTGAGGATAAAGCCGGCCAAAGAATGTCATAGTGAGAGAATGGTTGGAATTCCTTTGCACACAAGTGCTCCGTTCCTATTAAAACACCCTTCACTGTTTTCACTCATTATATTGGAGTCCATTTTGAGTTAATAGATTAAAACAGAAAAATGCCATTAGCTTCTTTTCCACAAGCAAAAAAAAATTTATTGTAAAAAGTCTGTCCAAAGGGGCCATTTTGCTGCAGTCCATCTGTTGGAAGCAGCAGGTTTCTTTCTGTGTAGGTAAGAAGGTGCCCTTCACTGCTGATCTGAGACCAGATTAACAGCTTTTCCCATAATAGATAGTTTATTGGGAGTTGGCAACGCCACCACCATGGGCTGGTTCCCTCTTTCTGTAGAAGTGATTCATGAATAACTTGGGTTGAAAAGAACAAATAGAGAAAAAAATCTCTTACAAATATGTTTGCAGCCCAATTTGACCCGCATATTTCATTATTAAAGGCAGCATTACATTTATGCTTTGGCAGATGCTTTAACCAAAGAATCTTATATTCCATTAAAGGAATACATTTTTCTAAGTTTGCTGGAAACTGATCCTGTAATTTAGCACCATGGTCTACTCCTTGAATTGTTTCGATCATACCCAGATTTGTAACCTGATAAGTTATGAACCTCCGAGTTTTCATGGACCTTGCTTGAGAATAATTAATTAGACATGATTTCTTGCCATTATTTAGTGGTCACATCCCTTTATTTACAGCTGAATCTGAAAAGCTGTACAGGAAGCGCTAGCATAACCACGTTAGAAAGTGTATACTGGTTGACAAACTTATATCGCTATACTGTTATTGTTTTATAGCTCACCCCAGTATCATTAGCCAGACATGAAAATAAGTCAATGTCTGAGCAACGCCTGATTTGAATGGTAGATAAAGATCTGATGGGCGTGCCGTGGATTACAGACCATTTTCACCCGCGCTAGCTTGATAATGCTGTTACTGGCCCCCTTCCATAGTAAATGAATGGGCCTCATGCTGTGTGTAATAAGGAAGTGATTTTGAGGGAAGATTGGGCTCTAACGCAGCATCCTGCTCATTTGAATGTGTGCCATGCTTGAGGATGTGTACAGCACGATAAGCGTCTGATGAGGGATGAAATGTGACTGAGACATAAGCAAAGAGATGAGTTGTTTTGGATTAGGATCAAGTTAAGAATAGGGGCTTCTATGGTCTTTGGTTTTAATGTTGTCTCCATGACATGACCAACAAAAACTACACTGTTCAGATTACCTGGTAAATAAGTGAGGTGTGTTAGAGATTTGCACCACTTCACAGATTATATGTAGCACTCTCTCTCTCTCGGTCTCACTGGGAGCTGTCAGACTCATTTCCCTGAGTCGAAGATGATTCTTCCTAAAACTTCCGAGATGCTCACCAGGTTTCCTCTGTGCCGGCTGTATGGACATGCCTGACATCTTAGTTTCAAAACGCCTGTGGAATATTCCTTATATAGTGTCAGTGACACTTGGCCAACATCTCTCTCTTTCTGTCACATCACAACCAGCCCTGGGCTAAAACATATTTAATCTGGCTTCTCTGAGATGTGTCGACAGGATTTACCCACAGCTCTTTTCACCTGTGCAGTGATGAGTGGCGTGGAAAGTTTTGGTGTGCACAAAAGGTTATGTGGATGCCTTGAAAATAAGACTAAATAAATAGTAAAAGGCTTTTCACACTGGGTTTAAAGCTGCATTTCTCACTTGCAATTTTGAAAGGGAAACCTGGCCTGGCTAGCTCAGTTTTTCAAAAGTGTGATTTCCTGGCCTGGATAGGTCATGGAAATGAATAAAATCACAGAAAATTTTGTAGTTAATAGAAATGTTTCTTATGTGCTTTTATAAAACATTTATTTGGTTAAAATGTTCTCTTGTATACGAAGAGAAAATAAATAAATACATAAATTGATTTAAGGCACTCTTTAGTTTGCACATCATACAAAAGTGTGATTTTCAGGCTTCGCAAAGTCATGGAAATTAATAAAATGCTGAGTGGTTAATATAAATATTCTCGTTATGCTCTATTCAATATTTGCTTAAAATTCTCTGTATGATTCCTAGGATGGATGGATGGATGGATAGATTCATGAGCTATATTCATGAGCTTTTTGTACCATTTAGTTTCAGCACCTGAGGGGAAAAAAGTCATGTTGAACAGCGGTGACAAATATGTTTACTGGAATAAAGTAGCAACTGTATTATGGTTGTACTATATTTCAGAATATTTAAAAGGACAAGCTGATTCGCCAAAATTTCCACAGATGAACTAGCAAGTATTAAAGCAGCTATACTTGCATTTTGTACCCTGATGAATATGCAAACGTGAATGTTAATCTGGTGTTTACAAATATAGAGTGTGAAATCTTAAAACTTTTTCAAGATTAATTACTAACCCATGAATTGTGTGAAAGCCTGGGTTTATATCAACAATTTCAAGTCCTAAAGCCCATGAGACTGTTTCTATAATGTTTGAAAGCAGCTCTCTGCCTCTGGAGGTCACCTTTCGTGGAGATGTTTATGCTGTCACAGGAGGCCTGGGTGTGACAGGACATACTGTAGAGAGGAGGGAAGAGGTCACAGGAAGAGTGTGAGCATATGCATTTGTTCATACTGTGAAAACAGCCCTCCGGCCTCCATCCTCCTGTTTACTTATTTCTTTCAACACAACTTTCACTTATCCTAAAGCCTTTAGGATAAAGGCTCTATTTCACGCTCTCTCCCCTCATTTTCGCTGCTTTATTCTGCTTTTAATTCCCTGCGACTCTCTCCTCCCCCTCCCGCTCTCCAGCCATGACTCAGACTGCACCTTTGGCTGACCACCAACTCCTTAACATGCAGACTGCAGCACTCCTGCCCAAACCCTCCACTCACTTCTGCATCAGAGAAACAAACACACCCAGCCGGAGATTACGTTCTTATGCTGATCTTGCAAATCATTATATATTTATCTAAATCTGTTCTCGAATCAGTGCAAACCTCTTGTTTGTGGCCTGATGGTCTTAAAACCCACTCTTAAGATATTTAAATGGATTTTATGGTAGCTGTAGTTAGATATCTAGCTCCATACCATTCATATGTAATGAGGATAGCCCAGTGTTATTTTATTTATACAGGTAACATTTTAGTATAAGGAAAAATTCTCACTATTATCTAGCTGCCTATTATTAACATATTGGCTGTTTATTAGTGCTTATAAGCCACATTATAAGGCACTTTTTTTTTTGCGTGACTATATTCTACATCCCTAATCCTACTCAATACCTAAACCTAACAACTACCTTACTAACTATTAATAAGCAGAAAATTAGGAGTTTGAGGCAAAAGTCGTAGTCAATGGTTTGTTAATAGCAAGAATTGGACCTTGAAGTGTGACCTTTGTACACTATCGTGTGTTGTTAAATTAGCCTTTTTGCATTTTAATTTGAGTTTTAGTAATTTTATGTGCTTTTTGTTATTTTTATTTTTTTAATATTTCTATTTAGCTTTATTTCAGTTTTAGTACTTCAACTTTTTCTTGCATTTTTAAGTTAAACATCATTGGTCTAACCTCTTATGACTTTTACAATAGTCTGTCTTTCCCAGAAAGCTTGGTACTAATTTGGTTAAGTGATGTAAAATGGTGGTGAGATGCTAGGGTTTGTACTCAAATTCTTTTTACCCATATTTATTGGCCCTAGAAGACGTTTGTGCTCATGAGAACCATTCTGCACACCATTGTTTCATTTGTTTACCTTGTATATACCCTCCTTTAACTCCTTTACAGAGCCCAAGCTCAACAGCTTAACTGTATTTAACAGACAGATGTTCTTCCAACCACAGTTCCCACAAACCATTGTATTCTGTGGTTTGATAATGAAAAGCTTTACTAATAGTGCTCTTCCAGATGGGAGAGGACTTTTTTGGTATGAAAATAGGAGGGTTAGCAATGAAAACAGCTGCTCCAAACAGTCTGCTCACCATCTGAGACATAAATATGTGCTCCAGTCCTAGCCATTCAGAGATGCGGTGGGTTTCGAACACAAGAACGAGGGTGTTGAAACGTGAGCTACTTCAGTGCGATGAGAGCAATGTGGATTTTTGGAAGGAGACTAAGCAAAATAAGCACTGGCACTTTACCGCCCTGGCCATAATTTGCACGGTATCTTCTTCCCTAAGATTAGATGTGGACTGTAAAATGAGTGGAATTTGGAAGGGGTTCCTCAAATGGATTTAAACCTCGATCCTTGGCTTCAAACGTTTCCCACCAGCCACTCAAACGGAATGCTAATCTCCATCCCTCGTGGGTGCCACAGACTTGCTCTTTTATGGTTTCTCAACGGGCAGATAAACAGACTCCTAAGCCATTTGGTTTCAAAGGTCCTCTCACAGACACAGCCTGAGCAGGCTGTAATCGCCTGAGAACACGGCCTGAAAGCTTTCTGTGCTCGCCGGCATTATTTAAACCACCGCAACATTCCATGGGAAAGATCCATTGCCTTAGTAACACGTACTCATTATGGAACACAACACCTCATGCATAATGCAGTAAGAAGTGCATTAATATTCATGATTTAACCCCCTCCTTTTTCTCTCTGGCATGTTATGGACACTACAAATGTGAGCGGAGAAGCTTTTGATCACAAGATGATTAGAAATTGTCTTTGGGCACGTTTTAACATGGATTGTTCAGAGGCGACATCTTTGTTGTTTCTCCAGTTCCGTTAAAGAGCCATTCTTGCGTTTAACCCAGTCCAATTTGACTTTTTTTTGCTAGTACAGTAATGGTTTTAAATGACTGTTAATTGGTTTGATTTCCTCAGTGCTTGCTCTTTTGTTCCATCAACTGCCACATACGGCGATGGAACAAAGCAAGACGCGTTAAAACACTCGAAAGCCCCGGGTGTCTTGGAGGTTTGTCACCGCTTCTAAAGATTAATGATGCATTACGGTTGATCATGATCGAGATGGAGACAGAAATAGGAGCAGCTGCATTATGAATTAAAGGCCTTGAGACCTCCTCTTTCACATCTCTTGGGTTTATCACCTCTGCTTTTATCGGTCATGGTTCAGAGGTTGCGCCTTTGACACTTGCAACGCTTTCCACTCGCTTCATAACACAACGAAATGACCTTTGATTCAGTGTTTGCCTCTGAAATGAAATTGAATTTGGTTTAATTATATTTAGAGGAAATGGCCCTTAGCCTCATGGTTTATTCTAATGGAATTCTCTCATCAAGCTGATCAATATCTAATGTATCATATGAAATAAAGAGTGTTTCTTTTTCCATTAATGCTGCTTCCTGCTTCGAATGGACTGTAAAGTTATTTGATGTATGTTGATAAGCAGAAGTTATGTCTTGGGTAAAGGTTAAAGTGATGGATCCAGAGTGCTTCTAATTAGTGCAGGCACTGGGTAATTCATTTGAAATCTTTTTTGGCCATTCTTTCAGAGTTGCAGTTTATGTATGTGGCATTATGATTCAATTGGTTTACCTTTGTATTTGTTCTTTTTTTCACCAGTGTTTGCGGACGTTAGTCGGCCACACCGGTGGGGTCTGGTCCTCTCAGATGCGAGACAACATCATTATCAGTGGCTCCACAGACCGAACACTGAAGGTCTGGAATGCAGAGACGGGAGAATGTATCCACACGCTGTACGGTCATACCTCAACAGTGCGCTGTATGCACTTGCATGAGAAAAGGTAACATCTACCGCCTTCCAAAGCCCACATTAAAATGCATATAGAATACCGCACTGCCTTTTATAAACCATTAAATAATTTTCCTTTGTTAAACATATTAAACAGATTTACATGAATTAAATCAAATGTAAAGTAAATGTTTTCCCAGGCTTTATGGGAAGATCAAAAAAGTGCCTATTTTATACAATTGTTTTAATCGATTTTTCAGTCACTATAGATTTTTTTTTGTGGTGTCAATATTTAAGATTAATATCATTTTTTATTATAAAAATAGATTAAAATTATTTAAAAATCTTAAAATTAACTTGAATATAAATGATCATTTTTGGTTAAAATAAACTGAAAGTGAAACGCTGGTGTAGAGCATCAACCTTAAATAAACAACTACCATGCATGAGTTCATTTACTTTAAAGTATTATATAAAGTACTGTATATTATATAATACTTTAAAGATAATTACCTTCAATAGCAGCACACAATACACGATTGTGTGATAGTTAAACCACACAGTTCCCATCTGGTTTCAGCTGTACACACTGACCGTGTGGAGTATTCACATACAGTCGAGAGGCTGGCTTGCTTTATGCTCTGTTGTGAATTACACAATTGCTTGCCTGACAATATTCTCAGTGTTTCAATGCCTCTGGGCCAATTGGTGTGCATATTTTCCCTTTGTGCCGTGCATGATTGCTTATTTTGTGCAGTAACCTCAGGCTTCATTCAGCAACAACAATAGTAGTTTCTGTTTGTTGCTCTTTTCTTCACCAGCACCCATTTTAATGTTCATTTTGCTCGGTTAAAAAAATATATTTACCAAACCTGTGTCCTAGGGGTCTGGTTTTGTAAGCAAATAATATTTTTCCTTTGATTTATGTAATGCCATAAGCAAACACATCCCTTGGAGGTACAAGAAATTGACTGTCGTAGACTGCTGAATTAATGCCTGATGAATTCTTCCATTATAAGTTGCGAAATAAATCATTTAAACTGTATTATATGAAACTTTTGACGTGAACACTCTGCTTTGATGTTGAGAAGTAAACCAGTTTGTTTTTCTCTCTCAGGGTGGTGAGCGGTTCCCGGGACGCTACGCTGCGGGTTTGGGACATAGAGACGGGTCAGTGTTTGCACGTGCTCATGGGTCATGTGGCGGCCGTTCGCTGTGTACAGTATGACGGCCGTAGGGTGGTCAGCGGGGCCTATGACTTTATGGTGAAAGTGTGGGATCCTGAAACCGAGACCTGCCTACACACACTCCAGGGTCACACCAACAGAGTCTACTCTCTACAGGTAAACACATGTTTACGTGCACCTGACTCACATGCTCTATCACTCAACCACTTCAGCTGCCTCTCAGATGGCAGATTAATGGCTGATGTATTTGTAGTTGTTTAAAGCAAGAAAAAGAATCAAGCCACTTTAGCCTTTTGCTCAATGAAAAATGAAATGTCTCTACAGGTTATTGCTCTCTTAATTCTTCAGCAGAAAGGCAAGAGATCTTTAAAGCTCAAACATCACTCATTGCAGATATTTTGTCTGAATAAGAAGCACTATCATTCTACCTATTCTTTTGAAAAGCTTCCATGACCTCTCCTACTGCTAACTGTGCTGGAAGTTTACATAAGCCACATGCCTTCAATGACTCGGAATCATCTGAGAGTTATTAGGTGTAACAGTAATAGGATCTGCAAAACGTTTAAGCTAATGTGTCATTGCCCATTCTTTTTCATAATCAGTAACTTTACACTCATTCAAAAGTGCATTTAAAATGGTATTTGTACATTGTACATATAAATACATAGACTTGAAAATGCTTCTTATATGATGCTGATTTGTTTAAATATTATAAACATTTGCGAAACTTTTGTCCACCAAATTAAATTAATGTGGTACAACCAACATGCAAAAACATTGAAAATAAATGAATTTGATGATTTGACCTTTTTGACATACAGTAGCGAGATTAGCTCAGATTGTAAAATGTCATGTGCTACAAAACATTAAAATAAGTAATTGTCAAAATAATTTTTTTGAATTAAAAAAAAGATTAAAATATGTGCCTTCACATGTATTGAAAGTGGTATTGTTTTTTAAATGGTTAAACCACGTGACATTTTATGTCATTAGTGAGTCATTAAACTATTGTTGAAAATGGTATAAAAGTTCAAAACCATATGAAACCAACACGAATGCAAAGCTTGTATTCAACGAGATTTACAAGAACTTGGTCAATGCATTTTAAATAGATTTGTGTTGTTTGTGTCTTGTCATTGACCCAGCAACTGTGTGGGACAAAGCATTTGGGCTGTAGTCCGTACTAATCCGCATTTGTCCTGATTTGTTCATATATCCATAATTTTAAGAGCTTTGCGGTAATTACCTTAGAAATTTTTTTTTATCAAACATATTGCCATTTAAACCAATAACAATAGAATGGAAAATATCTGGAATTCAGCTTGTGCTGCATCTCATTGTGAAATGAATCAAATCCCTGCCATACTCACTAAAGCTTTTATTGAATTGTTCTTGGCTTTTATTCTAGACAGAGAATAAGCCAACTGACTACTCTGGGTGTTTAGCCACAGTCATTTCTTAAATAACATGTCATTTATTAATTACTGCACAATGATTTATTTAATCCACTCTTTCTGCAGTTTGACGGCATCCACGTGGTGAGCGGTTCATTGGACACGTCAATTCGGGTGTGGGATGTAGAGACTGGAAACTGTATTCACACGCTCACAGGTCATCAGTCTCTCACCAGCGGCATGGAGCTCAAAGATAATATCCTAGTCTCTGGAAATGCAGACTCCACCGTCAAGATCTGGGACATCAAGACCGGCCAGTGCCTACAGACACTGCAAGGTGAGCAGAGAGGGTCTTGACTGATCGCAACTCAAAGGAATAGTCCACCTAAAAATGGCAATGATGCCCATCAGTGATTAAAACTCACCATGATATGAAATTTGATGGAATGCTTTATCCATGAACATCTTTTTTTTAAATTAATGCTCCATCGTAGTCCCACCCTATTTATTTTTCCTCATTCGAGAAGCTGTTTTACTCTAATATGCGTCACGATAAGGAAGGAAAGATCACAATTTCTGCCAACTTCAAAAGCAACATAATACTTAAATTCACACCTTTATCATGTGGCTTCAGAAGACTTGGCATACAAGTACCATAATGCTATATTTTGTTCTTTTGTGGAGCTTGACAGCCGCTTAGAACTGTTTTGTATAAAAAGATCATTTAAAACGTTCTACTTTTGTGAAAAAATAATTGCATGAAAATTTGGAACAACGTGAATAAATAATTGAAAATAAAAATATATTTTGGGGGGGTGAACCACTCTTTTAAGAGCTTCAGATCATTAATTAATAATCAGACTGCTTGTGTGGTTATTTAATTTTATAAAGTGTTCTTCAGTTTCAAATATCACATTTTATGTGCCTCAAGCACTTTATGCTTAAAACAATAGAATATCCATTTTAGACACAAACACATAATTTATAGTCACAGTCTAGAGGCAAACGATCACATTTTTCACTACCTCACAGGCGTTTGTGTTTCCAAAGATGTATTTTTCATAATTCCCAGCCTCTCTTAGCATCTTGAGCCTTGCTCTTGTGGAAGGGTGAGGGATTGATGACATGATGAAAGGAATTGGAGGGGGTTGGGATGTGTTGTTGGGGGTGCCCAGAGGGTACTAAAGAGGGGGGGTGGACCATATATCAGTTTGTAGGTCATTTAATTAGGTCATTGAGCATTTCCTGTTATCACTTAATGACTCTCGTTTGACATAATACACAAAAACACACATTTAACCCCAGACAAGATGCTCAACTCAGCGGCGGAGCTTTGAAGTGCAAACGCTCAAACACAGAGTCACTCATTAAAGAAAAGGGACTATTGTGGCGCTCTGTGTAGTGTCTTGCACATCAATAGAGAGCGTCCATCTCATTTGCATTCACACAGTTGACTTTAGCGCTCTGCTAATGGGTATTCATGAACAAATTCATGCCTTTGAAATGGATATTTTTAGTTTCATTCACTCACAATCTTCAGTCTGTCTTTGTTCTCAGGTCTAAATGTTTGATAACGTGATTTTCCGTATTTGACGCTGTGGATTGCCTGTGATGTTGCTGTAATAGCTCACCACACCCCTCTGCAGTAACAGGAGCCATTGTAGCGCATCTCTTTTTTTGCTCTACTGTATATTCCTCGCTGACGGCTGTCTGAGCACTTTTGTTCAGACTCGCATGTTTCTTGGCCTATCAGAAAGACTGGCTCAATTCAATACCTCAAGGGCATAGAATCAAAGCCGTTTGTGCCACCGTATTTCCCGTAACCATAGTTACACGTTCTCTCTTCGCGCTCTCTGCCGCGGCAAGTAGCTGCAGTTCAATTTCTTGTCTATTGGTGATTTCACTGTTGCAGTGTCTCAATCTGGAATTCCTTTAGTACACTTTTTAAAAAAAAGGACTTAAGAAAATAATGTACTTAAGAATATACTTAAGTGTGATCTGGATGTAATGTTTTGAACACTTAAATGCTTATTATTTGCATATATATATAAATGCATTTTAGTTTAAATGTATATTGAATGCTGTTAGTTAAACTTAAGAGTGTTTTTTTTAAACCAATTAATAAAACTTAAGTGAATCTTTGTATGTAATTTAACAGTTACTTTTATTGAGTTATGAAATATGTTTAAAGTGTGCAGCCAAATATACTGACAAGCATTTATGGTAAACTAAAATATACTTTAATATTGAAATTTAGGTTACACTTTATTATGCATTTAATTACTGAGTAATATTAATTAACTACATTTACTTACTATATGGTTAGGATTAGGGTTTGGATTAGGGCGACTTGCATGTAATTATACATAATTTGTTGTTATTGTAATAGTAAGTACATGTAACGTACAGCTTAAAATAGTAAGCTTACAGCTTAAAGGACACGTAACAAGGACAGCTTAAAATAGTGTTACCGAAATGTGTGTGGCATGTATTTTAATGCATTTATTGCACATTTGTAATGAAGTTGCTATTTTTTTTTAAATATTGATTAACAGTATTGTACATGTGCTTTAGTTTGTACTTTAGTATGTTAGTCAACAGATCAAAAACGGACTCCAAAGTACAACAAAAGATTATTTAAACAAGTATTTAAAATGTACCTTAGGGTGACACTTTTGATTGGACTTTATTACAAAGTGCTCTTTTTAAAAGTACTTAAGAAACATAGTCATGAAAGTGTACTCTCTATTAATATACTTAAAGGGATAGTTCACCCCCAAAAAATAATTCTGGATGTAGTTCCAAACCCATAACATTTTGGTTAGTCTTCTGAACACAAAGATCTTTTTAATGAAACCTATCCTTTTAATTGGCTTTTATTTTTTCAACGATATTATATTTGCAAGTTATTTTTATAAAAATTATATACTTTAAAGATATTAAATGCATTATAAGTGTTCATTCAATACAAATTAGTGCACTTCTTTTTTACTTTTTTAACTTCTCTTTCTTTTATTTTGCTCTCAGGTCCCCACAAGCACCAGAGTGCAGTAACATGCCTGCAGTTCAACAAGAATTTTGTCATCACCAGCTCCGATGACGGTACGGTGAAGTTGTGGGACCTTCGGACGGGCGAGTTTATCCGCAACCTGGTCACACTGGAGAGCGGAGGCAGCGGCGGCGTGGTCTGGCGCATCCGCGCCTCCAATACCAAACTCGTTTGTGCAGTGGGCAGCCGTAACGGCACAGAGGAAACCAAGCTCCTGGTGCTGGACTTCGACGTGGACATGAAGTGAAGGGGGTGAACTTAAAGGGGACTTGTTTGGAAAACGGGGAGGGTGGGGGAGAGCAACCTGCCCCGGGTCTCTCCGCGTCAGGACAGATCGCTCACTTCCCCGATATGTTGCCGCCAACATTTCTCCCCATCTTGCCACGGTCCACGACTGCCGCCACAGTTCCGTTCACCTTCCGAAGGGGGGGCAGACGCTCATGCACCACAGCATTCTGGGAAGAAAACTGACAAGAAGGACTTGGGAAAACAGGATAGTCCCTTTTCCTACCACTCAAGGTGACCTTGCACAGAGACTTGTTCGCTCAAGCCTGACTGAAATTCACACCCATATGTACAAACATTATTTTTTTTTTATCAAAACAGTCAACACTGTATACATGAGACCCTAACGCATCAACACGGACACAGAGTGATAAATAGTGTATACAAATTAAATTTTAAAAGAGAAAGATGAGAATTTGAAGAGCCTTGTATTGCGGGAGTGATTCGAGCTTGAGAGACAAAGGAAGCCAATTTTGTCAGTCCTCATCAACCTCAGCACACGCCAAATATCCCTTTCTTCCTCACGTGTTGAATTTCGTTTGTATCCGTTTTTTCAGTTCTTTTTTTTCCCTTTGTTCCCCACGACTTGTCTTTTGGTTTTCGCGTCAACAGCTGTGAATTAAAGTTTTGTGCTTTCTTTTCAAGTTCAGCATTTTTTTTTGTGTTCACTTCCTACCTACTGTTGCAAACAACAGGTTTCAGTATTAAGCTAAACCTACTCTGCTGTTTCACACGTTTTTGGGGTTTTATTTTGTTTTGTTTTGTTTCTTTTTTTAATTTAGTACTCCATAAGCAGTGCCTCTCTGGATCGGAGATGACCTGCGTTTGTTATGTTTTTCAACCAGTCTGGTTTCATTAGTTCATCAGTGCTGGTGCTCTGTGGGAAATGGGAATGTTTTCCCATAAGCTCCTGGGATTATGCCCCCCCCCACCTTTTCCCCCCAGTACTGTCCATCCCAGTGGCCAAACTGGATTTTATGCTGCTAGACTCACAGAAAAATAAGTTGGAACTTTAACTGGCTGTGACGTTTTAGTCCCAGACGAAATTCTAAACAAAAGTAACTTGTAGAGTTTGAACTTGTAAAAACGACACAAACAAACGTACCAACAAAAGCAAGATATCGACATGACATAGCTTCTCTTTTTTTGCCACTGACACTTGAGCCAAATGTGCCTCTACGAGGCGTAGAGGAGGGAGAATGTCTGACAGAGACGGGTTTGTCTGCTGAGATGAAACGACGGACGTGTAGAAACTATTTTGCGCGTGTTTGTGAGCATGACTGGGTGTGCGTGCGGGTGTGTGTTTGAGCAAATTGTTCACACATTCCTTGGGACAAAAGCTCTGTCAGTCTGTTCTGTGTGGAAATGTATGCTTCAACGAAAAAGAATACCCTTCTTGTTTTTAATTAGTTGAAAAATGAGATTGTTGGAACCGACGTTAAGTTACCGAAGAAACAAGGTGGTCTTAGTGTACAGAAATGGACATTTGATTACATTTAAAGTGCTAGAGCTAACCTGATTCCATTGGTGACGCTCTCATGGGGTTTGTTTGTTTGATTTAGTTTTTTTGAATGGTAAAGCAGCTTCATCGATAAACAGGACGTAACCGCATCCGTAGCCAAACGATTTGTCTCATCCTCCAAGTCACACAACTCGAGCTGAACTGTGAAAGTGGTTTAACACTGTATATTAAAAGAAAAAACAATCTTGTTCTTTCTCCTGCTTTTTTTTTTT